ATCCTCTGAATCCCAGCTGCCTCTGACCACTTAGGTCTCAGAAAAGCCAGATCATCAGAAAGCCTTTCCCTACACTCAACTCATAATGATAATCCTTGTTTATTAACTTCATAGGTTATAATTTATACTTGTTTTATTCTTTTTGGTCTGTTGACTTTTTTTTTTTTTGTCTGTTTCCCCAGGAAAGATAAGTGTTCTACAAGAAGTGATGGAGTTTGTCTTAACCAACAACGGTATTCCCTCCCTAGTTCCTGACACAATGATTGGTGCCAGTGAATGTTTGTTGATTGGATCAACATCCTTAAGAATGTATTTACCTGCAAAGGGTGTGTACGGCTTTAAGAAATACAGGATTCATATTGAGGGTCATTGTCTGGCTCATACTGAAATTCATGTCTGCTTCCAGTTTCCCAAGAATCAATAAAGGTTGAATCAATTTGATTCTTAAATTCTCTAAGCTTTAGTTTTTCATTTTCTTTATGAAAAAAGTGTTGAGATTTCACCCCTTGGTAAGGACTGAATGACACCCATGCCCAGTGGTCAATATCATGCAATCATTTTTGCAATAATTTGGAGGTTTCTCAACACAGTGTTTCCAATACAGTTAACTCTTTGTTATTTGCAGGTAAATTTTTTTTTTGGCAAATCTTGCTTTAGGTCCTTGATAAAACAGTACGGATTTAGTTTTTACTTCCTCAGTCAATCCAAGTAGAATTCATCCCAGCAGGGTGTCTTTTTAAACAAATGGTCACCTTTCCTAGGAGAGAAACAGGTGCATAATAGAGTAAGTTTCTTCAGACTGGGATGCGAAGAGAGACAGACTTCCAATACTGATACTTCCTTAGCTGGTATTTAGGGGGGGATTCTGAGCCCTTAAGGCAACCAGGAAAGATACTATCTTTCTTTTTCTGCTGACTTCTTTCTCCAACATGAATTATGTTAAAGAAATTAGACTTTAAATAGTCACTAAATCTACCCTCCATTTGGATTTTTTTTTTTTTGCATTCTTTTTGATTGAAGTCTAGTCAGTTTACAATGTCGTGTCGATTTCTGGTGTACAGCATCCTGTTTCAGTCATACATGCACATACATATATTCCTTTTCATTTCTTTTCCATTATGGATTCGGTTTTTTTTTAAATGCTTGCCACAGAATTATAGATCCCACAACTGTGTTTTATCATTCCCCAAAATCAAGGGAAGACATTTTATAGAAAAACAGATTTAGGAATATTACCCAAAACAAGGAGCTTTATCTTGTATTTCAGAATGGACTGGGAATCTAGTCCACAAGCCTGTATTTCATGATAAACAAATATTTGATAATTTGAATTGTCTGGTAAATTTTGTCCATTATTACTCTGATCTTAAAATACTAAATTTATATCCACAAATTAAAAATACAATTGACCCTGGAACAACTCGAGAATTTGGGGCTGGAAGAGACAGAGAGATGTAGCAGGTGGGCTGAGAAAATATTTGTCTCTGTTCTGGCCCCGTGGACTGGCGCTGAGTTCGGTGAAGGCTACAGATGGAAGCTATAAACAGCTCTGTCATCGGGAAACCACAGCCCACAAGACCCAAAGAGTTTCCTTGAATGCCCAAGTTATACATTGTTACATGAAGTATGGTAGAGGCATATTCTTTCCCAAACTAAGCAGAATACAGCCCCACAAGACCTGCTGGAACTCAGCAACACTGTTTCATCTAGAAAGGCTGGCATCTGAAATACAGGAGAAACTTGCCAAGGATATGAACTCAAGGGTTCTCACCCAGAGCACCAACGTCCCTTGATGTGATGAGTACCCTCCCTTTACTTATCTCACAGTGGTGGCCAACAGACAAGAACTCTGAACCCCTGAACCTGGGAAGACCACAGCCTCTGCTGATTCACAGAAACACTTGTATTTTGCAAGGGATTGAGTTCCTACATTGTGAGAAGCCATACGTTAGTCAAACTGGATGTGTCACTGTTAATGTGACTCATTAGCGTGCGTGGGCTATAAAGGACAGGGGAAACTTGAATTCTAATTTGAATTCTATTCGCTCCACCAAATGTATCTGTCATGCTACTCCATGTTTATCCCTTCTGCACTGTGTATTTTTTTTTCTTTTATGCAATTAAATTTGTTTTTTTTCAATGGAGGCACTGGGGGTTGAACCCAGGACCTCCTGTGTGCTAAGCACGTGCTCTACCACTGAGATATACCCTCCCTTCACCCTGAATCTCTTCTTTTTCACTGTTTCCCATTCTCTACCTGTTAATTCACTCCTTGTCCTGTCCATATGTAACCAGAGTACTACTGGGCAGCCAACTGGCCACAAAGCAGCTAGGCTAATGGAAAAAGAGAGGTAAACAGCACAGCTTAAGCATTTACTATGTATAAGGAATCATTCTACGTGATTTTCAATGACTTTGTAACTTTTTAACAACTTGTGATAGAGATGTAACTAGCCCTATTTTACAGATGGATAAACTGAGGTTCACAAAGACAACTTCCCTGAAGCCAAGGAACTATTCAAAGGTGCAGCCAGGGTATGAGTCCCGGTCTTTTCTGATACCGAATTCCTAGCTGAAGAAGCCACAAATCACACTGTCCATCTTTGAATAATCAGGAGGCACCCTGAACATAGAACTTTCTCGTGTCTGAGCTTCAAAGATTTGGGAGATATCATCAAAGAAGCTCAAGTAGCAAAAATCTGTCAAGCATCGCTCCAAAGCGCATATTTCCCAAAGTAAACCCAGTGGCTATTTAGATTTGACTGGAGATTTTTGTCAAGAGGTTGGGCTGAACCCAAAAAAGACAGCAGGAGGAATTCCTAAATTCCTTTCACATGTGTCTAGCGTCTAGGTTTGCAAGGGAGCAGCTTTGATCTCAGAACCGCATAACCCAGGGAGCAATCTGAAAATTCTTCTCAATATCTGTACCCATCCTCGGGGCAGAACACAAGGGTATGTCTCTTATTTTGATTCACCTGAGAAAGAGCAGCCCGGGCTCTAGGCTGTGTTGAGTTCTTCCATTTCCAATCTGAACCGGGCAGGAAGTAGCTAAAGATTAACAAAGTAAGCAAACTCGTTTGCTGTATAAACTAGGGGTAAGTTGGAAGCTAGCTGTAGGAATTCTGGACCCTTGGGCTGTGCTGCGTGGTTTCCATAACAACTAACACTGGAACATGAAACACACAGGCGTGACTCATGTGAAATGTTTCTGCCCAGTTCTTGGAGGCCAAATTTGGTCACTGGGGGACCTTTAAAGAATAGAGTCATTGCTGTTTTACTAATCACATACTCAAAGGGCGAAGTGTTCCTCCTTCAGAGAGCTCTCTCCATGAGTGACCACGGGGCACATTCATTCATCTGGGGGAACACTGGGTGTCCCTACCCGTCACACACAGATGCTCCATTCAAAGGCTCCACTGCCAAAGGGTGTCCTCTGGACGCTGGAGAACATCGGGATGTGATGACTTGACCGGACTGTACGTGGTGACTGATGGGGGTCAGGGCCACAGGCAATTAGCCACTTTTAGGGTAGAGGTCAGCAGATTCACTTCTGCTGGATCAGGGTGGCAGTGGTGTACGTACGAGCGAATTTGTTCTAAAGCTTCTTAAAAGAAAATCTGAGGCCCACAAACAACCCTTCTGCACCCTCCATCCCTAACCTACAACTGCTGTGAGTCATCACCGGGGTTACCTCTCTGCCTTCATGCCCTGCTGATCTGTATCCCAAAGGCTGTGCTCAGCGTCTCGCTCTGACGGACTCCACCCCATTCTGCACGGTTGGCCACTTCCATAACTTGTATCTCCTCCAGGCCATTGGTTAAGGCTCCCCCTTCAAGGCCCACGGCTGCCATGTTTCCCTCACTGTCTTCACATCCTCTCTTGCCCATTCGCCTACCTTCCAGACTGAGCTCTTCAAAGCAGGGGTCCCCTTGCCTTCCTTCTCTTTGAAATACTTCACTGGCTTTGCGTTGCTCTGAAAGTAAAGTCCAAAGAACAAGAGCTTTACCCCACACACTAGGCTGCCTTCTCCTCTTCCAAGCCGCCAAGTCCTGTCTCAGGGCCTTTGCACATCCAGGTCCTTCTGCCTTTTCCTCCCCTTCTTCCCTGGCTGAGCCACCCTATAAAGCTCACTTTAAAAGTTCCTTTCTCAGTAAGGCCCAAAGTAAGTCAGGTGTTCCCTGACAGTCTCTCTCAAAGCATTCACCCTGTATTTCCGTTCCATGACCTAACCTGAAAAAATACATCTGTTTACCTTTGTGACTAATATTTGCTCCTGCAATCTCAATGGCGAGGTGACACAAGTCTAGGTTGTGTCACTTTATACCCATGTTCTAACACAGTATCTGGCTTTTTTTTTAACAACCAATCCATTTTTTAATAACTATACATTTTTATAACCAATTTTTGATAACCAATTTGTACATTTTTATAACCAATTCATTTTTTAATTTTTAAATTTTCGACATTACAAAACTAAGCTGAAATTTATCAACCTGCCACTTGTATGTTTCTTCTCGACAAATAAAATCATGAGCCAAAAACCCCAAACAGAACTCAAAATGGGGAAAGTCTTAGAAAACTAACTATGGGTCCCAGCATGAACAGACAGCGTGATGTGTAAATTCTTAGCAGATGCTAACGTTTGTATGTGGAAACTGGAGACTTACCCATTATTGAAAACTGGGAATCACGGACCAGAAACAAGACATTTGGATCAGAGGGAAACAGTAGAAAGGGGTGAGGCGGGAACATGGCAATGGTCAGTTAAACTCAATTTGATCCAGCTCATTTCAACGTGGCGGGGGAGGAGTAGGAAAGCATTATATTTACATGCCTAGGTACTGCCTGTCCTCAGGTAGTGATGACAAAAATCCACCACGCAAAAGATGTCCCTTATCTCGCAATATCTGCGACCTGTTGAATCAGGGAGGAGGCTGTTCAGGGAAGGACCCTGACGTAATCACATTATGCGCAGAGGAAACAGCCCCACTTGTTTGCAGCCAGCACGGGTCTTGAATCATTTCCTGCTAGCTCTGGAGACGCCACGAGGGCAGAAGCAGACTTGCTTGTTGGGGAGGATCCCGGTCTTTAGCAGGTGGGTTTGGCTCTATGAGGTCAGGCCTGCGTTGCCCAGAGAACCACTAAGCTCCAAGTGCATTGCTCAGGGAAGCCCCAGGATTTGGACCTGGTGAGTCAGTTCCAGACTAAGTAAAACAGTTGTGTCCACGAGAGTTTCTCTGAAAAACGTTTTGCACAGTGATGCACTGCCTTTCTTTTCCCCCATAAAGCAGTGGTAAAATTACAGAACAAATTCACTCAGAAGGAATGTAATTGGAATAAAAGATGACAATGGATGTATTTGGAACCTGAAATGTTGTTTCTGCTCCAGCATCTTCAAATTTAAATCGGGATGAAGGGATGGCGAGCAGGTGATGGATCGATTACTGAATTTATTGAAATCAGCAAATTTATTGAAGAATGAGCCTGATATAAGTGAAGTTTTCTCCATCATGTGAGAAGGGAGAATGAAGATAGGAGTTAAAGGACTTGCTCAGTGTCCCAGGACTAATGAGTGACAGATCCAGGGTGGAAACTCCTAGCGTGGACTCACTCAAGTGCAGTTTTGCTCCAAGTACGGGATTCCTAGGAGAATCCAGGCTTCCATCGAACCAGAAGAAACGGTTTCTTTACATAGCCAGTATAATCAACATGTTGAAAAATAATGTGGGAACGTTTCCCTTTCTAAAATATTAAGTTAGAATAATTAAACTAAAGTGTGCCATTCTGGATAACAGGTTTCAATATAAGTCATTTGAGATGGACATTTCTGTTACTCAAAAGTGACTGAATGTTGATAGTTTTAAAGTGCATTTGTCTATGAATTGTCTGTCTCTCTGTCTCAAAAAATTTTTATTGAAGTGTAGCTGATTTATCATTTTAGTTTCAGGTGTACAGCAAAGTAATTCAGCTATACGTATACGTACATATTTTTTTTCTTTTCAGATTCTTTTCCATTATATGTTATTGAAAGAAATTGATGCCAGTGTTTTATCTCTATTTTTAGCACTTAGCACATTGCCAGTTACATAGTAGAAACCCAGTAAATGTTTATTGAAGGAATAACGGAAGTCAAATTATATTAACTAAGATACAGACATCCCTGCATGTTAACACTTTTTACACCAAGACACAGCGTTTTAAGAAAATACATGGTAGATTTCTAAAGGCATCTTGGTGTAGAGGAAAGTGTGTGGGCTTTGGAGTCAGGAAGGGAAGTCAGATTTTCCCTTTCAGTGCTCACTAGGTGAGACCTTGGGCAGGTGACTTATCTGCCCTGGTCCTGAGTTTTCTCATGTGTGAAAAAGGAATGAAAGTAGACACCTTCATAGATCGTATGAGGTTAGATGGGCCACTCTGACCCCAGGTATTTAGCAAATGTTATCCCAGACTCGCATCCCTACTGGTTTAAAAAGTGAAAGCAAATTATGACAATAAAAAGGATTATCATTTTAAAATAATTGTTTCCGGGAGAAGGTTATAGCTCAGTAAGACTGCGTGTTTATCATGCACGAGGTCCTGGGTTCAATCCCCAGTGTCTCTGGTAAAAAATAAACCTAATTACCTTCCCCACCCCTGTGATAAAAAATAGTAATTATTATTATTACCACAATTCTTTAGAGGAAAACATGGAGTTCTAAAATGTTTATTGTTTATAACATTGGCTTCTGCTAAGCTATAGTGATTAAAATGCTTTAGGTAATAAAAATTTTTGAATTAAAAAAAATCATCATTCAAACAAAAATATGCAAGAAAGTAATATTTCCTAAGTATCAATTTCATGCGTAACTTAATATGCTAATACAGCATGATAATGTCAACAAGGTGGAGAAAATAAAAATTTTAGTTGCAAAGATATATTTTATAGCACAGGGAATTATAACTTTTATCTTATAATAACTTTTAATGGGGTATAATCTGCAAAAATACTGAGTCACTAGGCTGTTCACTTGAAACTAGTATGATATTGGAAATCAACTATTCTTCCATTTAAAAAAAGGAAAAAAATTCTAGTTGCTTTTCCTTTGTGGCAGAGGCATCTCTGTAATGAAAAATTCTATTTTTGTCCTGTGAAATGGTACACGTCCTGTGTTCTAAGTTCATTACCATTCCTCCGCCCGGTGGAGATGATAATGGTCAGCAAAACAAAGCTATTTTGGTACCGAGTAAGGCTGCAAAATCTTCCTCATCAGCAAAACTGAAGGGAGAAGCAAGGAAAAAGTGTTTATGTTTGCAATTATGTGGGTCCCTTGGTATTTAATAGTAAAAACAAGACAAAACAAAACAAAACAAAAACAAAGCCTTTTGGTATTTTAGAGAAAAGATAATTCAGATGGAAAAATGTCTTAGTTTTTTTTTTTTTTCCTGCTGTGTACAAAGATACACTCAGTGAAAAGGCATATTACTTCATGTGTATTCACTGTAGGGGAAGATTTTCGGATTATTTTTGGCCCTTCTATTCTTGAGTGGAAATGCCCAGAATATGGTTTATTTATTTTTACTTTACTTCAGAACGTGAAGATCTTAACAGGGTTTTAATTCTTTCCTTTTCTAGGAGTTGACACTGAGATTATTCACGGAGTTAAAATTTAACGCCTTCTGTCTTTGCTCATTTAGCATTCAACAGGTATTTACTGATGTTTTCACTATGTATAAGGCAGAGGCCAAGACTCTGAGGACCCAGTGACCTACAGGGAAAAAGTCTTACCTTCATTAAGCTTATATGCTAGGTGACTGGTCCCACCCTGATAACTATGCTCCAATGTTTTATTATAATTCACGGTAACACAATACTCACATGACGTGGTTTCCCTGTGTATTCTGATCTATTTTATCTACACCCAATAGGGTCTGCACACACACACACACACACACACACTTATTCCATATGCAATCATAGTTTAAGTTCAATTCAAATTCAACTGAGCAAATATTTAGGGAGGCTCAGTTCTGTCATAGATGCCAACGTGGGGTTTGGATGACTAAGACCAAGTACTTCCCTTAAGGATCTAACAGTCAGGGAGAACGTGGGGGGGGGGAAGACTTGGAAAGAAATTCATCCCAGGGAGTGTGGGGTGGGGGAAAGCACTGATGCACAGCTTTAAATTTTAGGAACTACCCTCACAGGGCAGACATGTGACTTGGCCCCTAAGAATGCAGGAGATTTGAATAAGTGGGGAGGAAAGTGTTCAGAGAGGTAATAGCCATCTTGCTACCCTGCATCGGCGTCATGGAGCAGCAGCATTGGAGCCACCCGGGAGCTTCTGTTGAGTCAGACTCTCAGGGCTCGCCACAGACCTCCTAAGTCTCCTGCATTTTCACAAGGTTCCACTTACCCAAAGTGGTGGGCCCCTTTGAAGACCACAGCCTGGGCCCATGTGGCTGCAGCACAGAGGGTGTGAACGGCAGGCGCACTGGACAAAGAGTGAGAAAAGACTGTGGAGGAGACAGGATAGAATTGTTACCGAGTCCAAACTCATTCTGTCCACCGCACGACAGGCCAATAAATCAGGAGACAAGGTGTTGGGGAAAGGAATAACAACTTTACTGGGAAAGCCAGCAGATTGAGAAGATGGGGGACTCATGTCCTGGAGAACCATCTTCCCCAAGTCAGTATTCAGGCTCCTTTTATACTAAAAAGCAGGGTTGGAGGGAGTGTGGCTGGCTGTTACAAACTTCTTGGTGTCGGAAGCCTTTGTTCTTGCAGCTGCCCACGTGAGTCAGGTCGTGGTGTCTCTGTAAACCTCCAACAAGACAAATGTGAGTCTATGTTATGCAACTTTTTATCTCTGTATGAATAGAAAGTGTTCTATACCCTTAAAGGTCAGAGCCTTGAGAGTGGGCTCTCCTGTAGATTTCAGGCTATTGGCACGATTCTTTTACAAAAGGTGCAGAACCAGCATGACTGAGCCCAGGAAACAGAGCACAGGGTTAGAGCCAAAGGAACAGAGCTAATACGGAGTCAGATTTGTTCTTGCCTATTACAGTGTCTTCGATCAAACTGGGACAGGAGTAAATTCCACTCACTCAGTATTTCCCCAGGCAGGATGCACTGTCCTCTCTTCGGTGTTCTTGTTACCATGTGTATTTTTCTTGTGGTTGTACCTACTGCCCTGTTATTTGTTTTTGTGTCTGTCCCCCTCCCATCCCCTTCCAACCTCCCCCCAATATTTAAAGCAGAAACCTATTCGTCTTTGCCTCTCCTGAACCAAGTATTCAAGAAATGATTGAACTGAACTAAGTTGGAGCTTATGCAATCATTAAGAATGACTAAACTGATGTCTTCTAAAGGAATAGGGGTAAAGTACATATTTTATTATAATGAAAACTAGAAAATCTTGGCAAAACAAAACAAACAAACAAAAGAAGGAGGCTCTGACTTAGTTCTAAATTCCTTACAGTTATTTCAGTATTGTGTGTAGCTGGCTGAAATCGTCAATCATCTGTTTGTTTATTTACACAATAATTAGCTGAGTTATTTTCTGCCTTCCCTTCCTAGTGGCCAAAAGTTTTTGCCTTCCACTGTCTCTCAGCCTCCCAAGTCCTCAAGTCTAACCCACTGCTACAAACAAAGCATGTGATTACCAGTTGTCCCATCAGCAACAGAGCCTGCACCTTCTCCATGGAAAAGAAAGGGTCTGCTTCCACTGACACATGAGAGGTCAGTAGCAATAAATGGCAGGACATGCCGATGGCCCTGGGGCGTGGGGACAATCGCTAGTTGTCCTTCGTGTAAGTTTAAGGCTCACAGAAAGCTTCCTAAGAAATGAGTTCTGATTCACGGGGAGGAAGAGGAGGGATAAGGGTGGGGACATTCCAGGAAGAGAGAAGGGAACGCTGGACAGCATGTTGCTGGCAGCAATTAATCTGGCTTGGAATGCGTGCTGAGTCAGTCTTTTTTTGATTGAGTCCCTATTAAGGGGGATGGTAGACAAGTCAAGAGAGACGGAATCGTAAAGTGTTTTGCACGTCAAGTGGGACTTGATGCTGCAGGCGGGGGCAGGGGTAGACTTTGAAAGTTTTGAGCAGGGATGTTATGGGTGTAGAGTGGTGTTTCAGAAAGCTAAATCGAGCTATAGTGTAAAGGACGCCTTGAGGGGCAAGAGATCTCCCTCAGTACCAGCTGTGACCGTGGCATGGGGGCGAAATGACTGAGTAGAGAAATAACACAGAAGATTGAGCCAATGCATCTCCAAGTCCTGTTGAAAGTTCCTCTCAATTGAGCTTGAAAATCGAACCCCTTGTCTCCAGCCCCGCTATCACAGACTCTCACCCGGACAGCTACAAGGCCACGTAAAAGACGTGTACCCTTTCGTGGCTAGGGCTACCCACCAGCCCTTTGCACAAAATGCTGCCAGGCTGACCTTTTAAGAGCACAAATCACAGCAGCGCCATTCTCCAGCATGAAGGTGGCCACGTCTCTAGGTGCATCCTAACACAGTGCCAAGTCTGTCACCTGGTCCCATGGGACTCAGCCCCGCCTCTGTCTCCCTTCCCAGCGTGTGCTCTTCTTCCCCCTACTTTTTGGGCTCCAGTGACTCCAACTTATCTTCTTAGACAAGTTACGCTTTTCTCAATACAGGATCTTGTTATAAATTAGTCCCATTCTTGGAAATTCTTTGTTTTTTAATTTTTAAAAAAAAATTTTGGGAGTAGTAATTAGGGTTACTTATTAACTTTTTTTAATGGAGGCACTAGGGATTGAACCCAGGACCTGATGCATGCTAAGCACGTGCTCTACCACTGAGAGATACCCTCCCCGACTGAAATTCTTTCTTCTCCATCATTTGTCAAGGCACCGTCTACTCTTCTTGTACACTGTGGTTTATACTGCAGATGAGGCCTTAGTCACAGTTTAGACCTGGAATATGTTGAAAGTCCTTAAAAATAATACGGAAATTGATGCTAACATTTCAAGAAACAAGAATACACTTTTGTTTTGTTTTAAAAAATTAGTAATAAATCCATACCCCCATTTTTTAACTTCTTATTTTTATTGCAACAAAATACGCATAACATAACATTTACCATTTTTATTTTTTATTTGTTGTTGTTGTTGGGGGAGGTAATTAGGTTCATTTATTCATTTGGTCTTAGAGGAGGGACTGGGGATTGAACCCAGAACCTCATGCAGGCTAAGCATGTGCTCTACCACTTGAGCTGTACCCGCCCTGCTAACATTTACCATTTTCACCCTGTTTAAGTGTCCAGTCCAGTAGCATAAAGTATAGTCACACTGTTGAACAGCCATCACCACCACCCACCTCCAAAGCTTTTTCATCTTCCCCCAAAGAAACTCTGTACCTATATTTGTTATTAAAAAAAAATTCAGTAGCCATCCTAACAGGTGTGAAGTTCATAGTACATTTTATAACACAGTTCTAAATTTAGGATTTAGAAAGGCTGACACAACCTTTGGCCCCAGCCCCTCATGTTATGGAGAAAGCTGAGACCCGGCGGGTGAAGTGACATCCCCCATGTCACACATCAGAATGGGGCTGGACCAGGTCTCCCATTTCCCAGTATATCGGGGGCCTCCTGGACACTGAATACATGAGTGAGGAATTAAAAACTGCTCAGCGTCGGAGTAAGGAACACGTCGGGGCTGAATTCAAATCAAACGTGAGAGTGAGGTGGAATTCTTACACTGTACCTCCCTGCATCCTTATGAGGTTAGAGCAGCGTTGGAAAAGTGGGTGAACCTCCCAGAGCCTTAGTTGTCCTCATCTATAAAATGGGGACAATAAAACTCACCTTAGAAAAATACTGAAATGATTCCATGAAACAATTCAGCATGAGCTAATACCTAGCCTAACGGTAGAGACGTGTTAGGTGCTAAACCAAGGCCTGCTAATTTGACTTGCTTTCCCGAGCACCAGGATCTAACTCTGCCTTAGGCTTAGTTTTATTCTGGTAATGTCTTTCCAATTTTGGGTGGGTTCTAACCCGAGGTCAGAGGAACAACAGAAGCAGATGGCCTTCCGGAAACATGTGTTTAAAGGGACTCGTTGTGTCTTGGGGGTGACGTCCCCCACCCATCGGGCAGCTGCGAGGCTCCAGGGCTGATCTCCAACATTGTGCCTGTCCCTTCCTGAGCCCTCCCTGCTGCAGACTCCAAGTCTGACAAGGAGAATGTGCTGTGATCATCACACGGGGAGCGAGCAGCTGCTCCAAGGTGGGGACTATTGTCCAGGCCCTCCTGGTAACAAAAAGAGGAAAGGGCCTATCAAAGCATTTCCTGCCCGCAGGAGCCGTGTGCTTCCATTAATTCTTTTCCGTGAGTCAGTCTGTCTCCCTCAGGCTAGCGTCTCTCCATGTCCA